CGAGCAACCATCCGCGATCGAAAACCGCACACTCAGTTCTCCGCTCACCATCTGAGCGCCACACCTCAGCATATTTTTAGGCCTTTACGAGGCGCTCGGGTTACCAAACAGACATTCGTTTGAGAACAATTGGAGCGTTCAACTATGTTAATCAGTCTGTTCGGAAGGTCCTTGGCTTGGAAATGGTCATTGCCTCAATGTGGAGAGCCTTCGGTTTGTTGACAGCATCACCAAGAACGGCACTGTTTGGAAAAATAAGGCCTGAAGGTTCGTATCATGTTCTCTAGGTTCGGCGACGCTGGGACAGGGAAGGAGGGGATCATAGGCTTTGAATGAGACGGGTAGTAGTAGATACACAGGACCCATTCATCGTCATATCTCGGTTTCCGTATCAAGGCGAGCACACCTTCATCCTGGGGAGACAGCTTCTCTCTGGCCATTTCTCCCCGTAAATTTACGGCAGGGGTCAGTTACTCTCCCGGGAGGGCGCTCCGGGACCTGCATGACGGCCTTGCGCTTGGCGGCCGCCACGACTCAATCCGCGAGAGTCCGAGACAACGGTATTGTGCCCGGCTTGGCATGTCCGCTCAAGAACACACCTAATCCAAGCCTCGTGCATTGGGAATGTACCTATAGGTCGCAAGGAGTGCAATAAGACTGGGCTTCATTCGGCTCCCCATTTCTGCCCGCCTCGGCGGAATGGGGGATTTATTAATGTATTCATTTGATCCAGGCAGCCCCACCAAATCCGGGAAAGCCTACAATCGTTCAACGCTCCGCAGTTGAGTGATCGAGCGCTCGATGGTGCAGCTGAGCTTGAAACATACGCGTCGGATGGCTCTGATGCGACACGCAGCTGTGATCGGCGATGCGAGTCGTCTTTCGCACAATCGGAAGAATCTTTCAGAGCGTCAAACCCTTCAAGATCGACGCCCCTCCGGGATAGCCGCTCAAGACGCTCATTGCCGAAGATTCCCCTAGGCACGATGAGTCAGGCCGATTAGTTGTCCATACACTTCGGCTCGTTCGGCCATCGTACGGAGGCCCGAGACGTCATGGGTTCGCGATTTTTCAATCTCCGAGCTTTCTGTTCGGTCCTTGGCCTCCAATCGGGCGGAAAATGAATGCATCCGGGAAGAGAACACGCTCTGCCGACAACATGGTGATCACCGACCTATCTTGCGTACAGCTTTGGTGAGCTTGTCCACCAGAATGTCGTGGAAGGAAGTCAAGCTGACAGAATTCCTGGTGAGGCTCTTCTTGCCCTTGGCTTCGGGAACCGGTTCGTGCTTATCCGAAGCCGATCGCTTGAGAGCACTTTTAGCAACCGGAGGAGGGTGGTTATGATGCAATCGATGCTGTTGATGGTGTATGGCCAGTTTCGGTGGAGTTCCCACGGGGCTCGAGGCGGTCGAGGATCCCGAGCTGTTGAAGCTGCTTGCGGAACTACTTCCGTAGAGCGGGTAGCTCTGCTTCACAATCGGAATTGCAAACGCCATTTCACCGAGGAAAGGTTTTCAGCTGTTTGGGCTGTTGCTCGCTTGTGAGGTCTATTGACAGAGTGAGTTGGAGAGGAGAGTCAAGCCGGTCTATTATAGCTTCGAGAGAGTTGATGGAGAGGAGGCGATGCAGAGCTGTCACCGTTGAGTTCGCCTCTGTCGTGGATGCAAAACCGCGCAGCCGGTGCCGGCGCCAGGCTGGCGCCTATGCGGCGCCTGTACGGGAGACTGTCCCTCGTGAGGGTCGAAGGCCATGACTCAGGCGGAAATGGGTCACTCACTACGTCGCCTACGAGATGATGCCCGTGGTCACGTTGGGTCCGTGGTGTAAGTGCTCGCTCGACCGACAAGTCGCACGTACCCACGAGTTTCTTAGCGTAATGCTTTGATCTATGCACAAAATATACAGGATTTGAGAGGGAGTCGCGGGCGGGTGCGAGTTTCCGTCGAAGACGCTCGCGTCTTCAATGGAGGGCTCGGATCCGTCGGAGAGTGATCCCTTTGAGCTTCGTGAGCACTTTCGAGAAATTCGATTGAGCGCTGGGGCTCCTGATGGACCCTCTTCTCGGCAGACGAGCCTGCGGCCGAACTCCGAAGAGATCGTAACCCTCCTTAACGATGGGCAAGGCGAAACTCATGATCACCTCTGTCACTTGTCAAACTCGGTCTACGCACAGATCACAACAATGAGATCCTCCAGCGTTCGTAATTTATAGATTGGGTGAGACTCGGTCACGAGAGGGATCCTGTCAAGGGTTCCTTAAGACTCACAGATATTCAACCTGTTAAAAGAATCGAATCCGATTCGACACTGCGACGGCGCTCAATTGCGTCACCGCGTCGGGGAGACGGTCGGTGACGTCTAATTTCCGCGATACCTGAACAAGAACGATTATGACCGCTTATCATCCTCGTGTCTGGAGAGAATGGGGAAAAAACAATGGACAAGGATGAGTCGGTGATTCGTCGAACGATTTTGTCCTGCGCGCGGATCGTTTTCGAACACGAGACGATTCTTGGCGTTTCCAAATCGAATCACGCAGAAACTCATTATCGTCAGCCATAATTGGGTTCACGCGATCATGATGCACGTAATGCGATTGACAGAGCTAGAGCGCATCCGTGACGTCAGCTCCGCGGCAGTGCCATTCATGAAAGACCTCCGTCATCAAAACTCTCCCGGTAGTCCGAGTTCTTATTACATCTCGTACCGTTAGAGGTGCAATGCATGATCACGTCGGCTGCAGGGGGTCAGTTGCGTGAGCCTGTGGGAAAATGCCGTTTGAGTCGAGAAAAAGAAATATAGACGTCTATAGTGTGCAGTCGAGTAAAGTCCGGCGTCTGCCGTCTAGAGCGTCTGGCCTTGAGACAGAGTAAAGCTAAACGTGACAAGGTGCGCACTGAACGCTACTCACGAACAACAAACTCTTGAGTCAGGAACCTTTGCCCTCAACAGAATTCGGTGCTTGGCGCTTGAAGCTCTACGCAGTTCATGTTGGGCCGATCGGAGATCCATCGGTTCTCTGAGGGAATTCCCCAAGGATAGTCGTTCCCAGCACGATAGTTTCCTTTGGAAAAACTCCAAGCTTCCACACTATATTCCTCCGCTGCTGGAGATTCATCGACCTGTTTTTGTTTCCTGCACTCGAGATATACATACATACACTAGAAGAGGAATAAACGCCTCGCCGTACGCTGACTCAATCGCTAATCGAAGCTGATGGCTACAACTTCCTCTAATGCACCGTGGCGAATTCTCTCACTTGCTCCACTCGACGATTCCTGTCCCGGGAGGGTTTCCAAGTGAGACCCCTCAATCGTATCGTAGATCAGTGGGGACCGACGAGACCGGAGCCGCGAATCTCACCATTTTTTCTGGAAACGCTTTGGGAAAAGCGGAGGATGTGGCCGTCCTCCTTGAATCGGGGCTGCAGAGCTAGAGGCTACAGGACCTTCCACCGAGAGCTCATCGGTTGAATCGGACGTCCTGTAGAGCACAGTACCGCCAATTAGAGGACCGTGGCCTGCAGACTCGGAAACAACAAACGAGTAGGAACAATCCTCATCGTGGCGAACACATTCCACGTAGTGCTAGGGCGGCGGATGCGCTCTAGCAATTATCGAATATAATTGGCAGAACACTGACTTCTTCAGGATCAAAACTCCTTCGCAGAGCTCCGACACGAGCGGAGAAGCCGTAGTTTCACGAAAATCATGTTCAGAGAGAGAAGAAGTCGGGTTGCGGAGTTCACGAGAGATACTACACGAGACGCGGGAGCATCATACAGAGTGATACACGCCATCGATAACGGTAGGAAATAAGCACCCGGATCATAAGAAATTTCCCAATGGGAAACTCCCACAATGGTTCGGAGGGGAGTTGGAGGGGAACGCAGGAAAGTGTGCCCGAGACCCCGCTGCGGGAGACGGACGAGGTTCTGCAAGCTGATGCATAATCGGCATCGGATGACTCACGAGGACTCGTTGCAATGAATGGCGCGGCCAGGAGTTTCTATACCTCGCTCAAGTGAGCCCTCTTGTACGCCCCAATCGATCACGGAAGCTGATTTTCGAACTGCCTCAGAGTCTATCTAAAAAGGGACGTCTTGTTCCTCATAGGTACCGTGTTGGAGACTCCCCCCTCGGCCTCCGAGGCTTCGTCATCTGATGAGTTCCTTATGCGCGGATCTACGGAACGTGAATGTATCCCAGCGAGAAAACCCCGAGTCCGAGACCCACCCAAAAAAACAAAAATCGCTCGCGGTCGCTGTAAACCCCGGAAACTGATCGGTGATCTCCGTCATGAATTTGATGAGCGCTCGTGGAGGTAATCGCCTGGTTGACTCCTCCGAGGGAGCGATCGAGCTCGATCCGACACTCTATCTCTACATGAATCATTTGGAGCGAGCGTCTGCGCGGGTTGTCTCTCATCACTCATTACCCGAGTAGCTCCCAAAAACAGTCCCATCGAAAATTGCGGGACCGAGCCCTCAGGAGGGATTGGATCCGCTCTTCGTGAGCCACCGACCCAGACGATAGTAATGAGCAAATATTTTCCCAGGAATTTCTGGATTTTTCTGGAAGTTCAGAGGATGTTCGCACCAACGAGGATTCTCCTCTCCTAGTACCCGCTACCCTCAATGGGACAAGTATAGTAAGATCACCGATTCGCCGCAGCACCGTCGCGTCGCCAGGTAATCGAAGTAATGGTTCAATGATGGTCGATCCCAGCAGCCTTGAAGCTTCAGCGTCACCTGTCCGATGATGCGTCAGCATGACCTCAGAAAATACTCTTCAAGAACAGGGAACGCAAGCTGCTCCCATGTCCGGTCGGCACTGAAAACGCAAGAGCTTGGACCTGATTGGGGAGCGGGGGTTCCGGAGCTCGAGTGAATACATAACGTGCTCTATGCGGATGCCCCACGAGAGCTTCTACAGCGTGAAAGACGCTTTGAAGACCGATAAATTATTGGAGAGAAAGCTGGAAATAATTCGATAGTAAGCGACCGAACTTTTTTATTGTAGTTCCAGTCAGTATATAGTCACAGCGCGTATAGATATAATTCCCTATGTTCTCGAGCGGAATCTCAGATGTTAATGACTCTGGACAACTTTTGTATTCTGTTGAGGAGAATGTCCCCTTGTTTGATGATCCCTTGATACTGGTAGTTCTTATTATCTGGTCGGTTTGTTTCGACGATTCCGTTGACCTTGTCGATTTTGCAATGCAACCTCCCAGCCGCGATGAAACGAGAGAGTTCTTGATCAATGAAACCGGCGGAAACCCCAAAAGCGTCGGCCATGTATTGAAGGGTCAGAGATCGGTACGACTCCAACAACTGAGTGTATGCGAGGATCCTCATGTCCCTCACGTAGAAGCGATAATGGGGATTGAGAACGCGGTCCCGCTTCATGATCTCTTCGATATGCGCCAGTTTTTGGAAGAAGACCGCGTACTGACAGTTGTACAGGGAAAATAGGTACTCGCGGATGTCGGGCAGGTTGTGCAATACTTCAAGGATTTCTGACCCTCGGATCACGGACTCCCTCAACTGGGTTCGGCTCAAAGCGAGGATGGATGATAGAACAGTGTAGGTGACGAACTGCTTGTAATCCATGAGCTCATAGCAAGTGAACGTTGAAACCGTGTCGAGGAAAAGCTCGGCGGCGGTCTTGAAATCTCTCACGGCCAATGAGTAGAACGCCTGGTAGACCTGTAAAATAAAGGCGCTTTGTAATCTTATCCGAACGCGCTGCCGCTACGGGGGGGTTCGTCTCCATTAGTAGAGAAGTTTCCTTCACAGGAGCTGGCACGAACCTTCAATCGGTTCCGCCGATCCCAGTCTCCGCCCTCCTCGATGAGGGCCTTCGCTTTCTCGATGTTGCGCGTGATGAGATCGTGATCGAGGTAGAAAAGCCCAACGCGGATTTGGTGAAACAAGAGGTCGAGCTTGTGTCCGACGGAAACCGACTTCTCGTAGGTCTTACGGAATTGAGTGAGCGCGGCTTCCTTGTCGCCTGGAACGAATCAGCGTTCGATCATCTGCACCCCCATTCCGATCGGGTCTGACACATTTTTTGACGCGGAAATGAAGTTTAGTACTATGTATAATCCGGACGGACGAGGGCTACGAACCGATCTTCGAGAGGTACTCTGCTTTCCTTAGATTAGCCTCTCGAACTTCCATCTCCCCCAAGTTCGTCTCAGCATCTTCGATCGTGCTGTCGAGCTTTGTCAGCTGCTCTTGATTGGCTTGCTTCAGTTTCTCCATCAGCTTGTTCTCCACTGGCCATCCGAGATCTTTGCAACAATCCTCATAGAAGGGAGCCATGTCTGGAAGGAAATGAACACCAGGCATGAGCGATACGGGGAGAGGCTCGGGTTCCTCTGAACTCTGTAGTGAGTCCCCCCCTCCGAACACTATTCGAATGTTCAATTCGAAGAACACTGCTATGTCACCCGGAGCGCTTTGTGGACTCATAGCTCCTGTCTCGTTGCGTCGACCTCGAGACACTACCGTCGAATTCTCTATTTCCCGTCATCAGATGAACGCTCCGGAGCGGCTCGATGAACCGGTAGCACATGGGGCCGAGAAGAGAGTTCTGCCTCGGTTCACGAGGAGGACCCCGTCGTCCGCTCGGGAGCCTCCTGAGATCTGACGGGAGGGAATCGACTTCCGTCCAAGTCTTCCGATCTAGCGCCTCAAATACGAACCATCTTTGTTGATCGCTTCCAGGAGATCCTGCTTCAGCTTGAGGTTTGATCGGTCGTGGAACTGCAGTAAATACTTTGCTTGTGCAAGCTCGAGGTTGGGATTTTTGTCGAGGGATTGCTCCTCGAGATTTTCCGCCGGCATGTTGGAGAGCGAGATACTCCACGTCAAACTCGAAAGTTATTCACACGGAAAAGTCGGTATGCCGCAAATGAGTTGCCAAATTTTCGTCCACACTGTGATATGTAAACAAAGAGCAGACGCTCGATTTGCTCGGGAAGGCGCAATGTTTTGAACACGGCGGCGGAACGGTTTCTCGCACCGCGCTCGTCGCATCCGCGTGCCTCATCTTCGCGGTACATACAACACTTCATAGACGCTGCTGCCCTCGAGGTAGAGGTGCGGAACTGTCAAGGTACGTGGCTTTCTACTTACGTCAGATTCTAACCGAGCGCTAGCTTTCCCCCGGGCTCGCGCCGGGAGCAGCTATTCTTCCTTCTTCGAGCGGAGAAATATTGCCCAATAGATTCTTCCGACAAACGAGCGCACGACGCGGAAATGCCTCCACGGATCCTTCTGCACGGCACTTCGACTTCAGTGAATGATTTTAGAATAATGACTTGAATGAATGGGACTGGTTATAACCTACGGACCCTTGATTTTGGGCTGGAGAGACGGTACAGGGAGAGATCGTACGCATACGTGTGCGGGTCGATGGGAAGTTTTCTGGTCCCCTGGGATTCGTCTCGACCTTCCATTGGGCCTCTTTGTTGATGAATATACCTGCAATTGGTGTCGATTTATCTGCTTCCTAGAGCTTGCATAGTATCCCAGTATAATCGTCATTTTGCGCTCGAGTTGTGAGCTGCTCTGACTGATTGTGAGTGGCTCCAATCACGCTAACGCGTTCATTTTCGACTCAAATTCCAAGTCCAATGGTCCCGTTATATCATTTGCAGTATGGCGCGACCGAAAACTAAGAAGAAGCCTGCCGCGGCAGCCGGTCGCAAATCAGCGGGAATCCAAAAGTCGCGTATCAAAAATGAAACAGAGAATCGTATGGCCGAGAACGCGGCGAGCGTCATCAGGAGCCGCGGAGGGAGGAGGTAATGATACGAGTTCTGTACACATACCTACCCATCGCAAGGAGGTGTACAAAAATTACCACGAGTGAGACATCGGTCACGATCATTCTCCACGATTGAAATGCAAGATAAACCTTGATTTTATGCTGCAGTTCCTCGGCCGATGAAGCCGCGAACACACCGAGTAGTGCCACGAAGGCTCTTGCTCTCGGGGAACGCTCTACGGAAAATGAGTTGAACGAAGTCCCAAGAGTGGTGGTCGGGGATGTTCGGGTCCGAATTGAGCATTGGTAAGTTAAGACTCGACTAACGACGAGGGCCCCAGCATGACCTCTCGCTGGTTCCGGGCTCTCTTAAGTTTTTTGAAGGCTTGGAATCCCCACACGTATGCAACACAGATTATCAAATCTGGATATCGTGGTCTCTCCTGGGGTATTTTCTACTTATTCGCTCCGTGGTATTTTGCGAAGACCCATTCCGGGCCGTCAAAATTGAATGGCTCCGATGGGGCTCATATAGCGAAACACGTTCCAATTCAAATTCGGACCCGGGTTTTGAATTTCAGCAAATCCTGACGGGTCTACTCGAGGAATGCTTTGGCACTGCAAAAATCTCTCATCGAGGCTTTCCCGGAAAGTCTGACCGATTCGAGTTTCACCATAAATGAGACCAAACCCCGCTCGAAGAGTTTCGAGTTTGTGCTCATCCAGAACGGCGAGGAAGAAGTCGTGTGGTCTGGTCTCAAACTGGGGCCGCCCAGAGCGCAGAAATTCCCTGCGTCGGAGAAGCTTGTGGAACTCTTCGCCAAGAAACTGAGCAAGAACTAAACTTCGCAGGGAGACTTTGTGGTCCCGGAAGCTGTTCGCGCTCTCTGAAATCGCCGTGGAGATTCTCTGAAGCGAGATCTCGGAATGCGAGAAATGACGAGGCAGAATCAAAGCTTTCGAGACGTTCTGCCTCTGATGACGCAATCAAGATCTCAAGTCTGCGATCTTCAAGGCGACTTGGTTTTCAACGCATTTTAATTTGTACAATCCCGTGAATTCGGTTCTTATTCCATACTTCGTAACTCGGAATGTAAGATGAGGCATGTGTTCTGACCCTGAAGGGTAATGAAAATAAAAGTCAATCAGTTTGAAATTCTCCATCTAAGAGATCGGATATCTTCGCGAACCCTTCGAGACACAGAACGTAATTTAGCGCAGGATCACGTCGATTCTCTCAGAGACAAGGCCGCTATCGAAGGAGAGTCTGATGGTCCAAATTGCATGGGACGATGGATTGCGCTCGCAAAAATTAGGGTTTTGACCGAGGCACATGTCGGGGTTCGAAAATTCACGTTTCTGACAACCCCTCGGAGACGGGACGTCCAGAGCGAACAGGAGTTGAGGATTCAATCTTCGCTCGAGATTGTCCTCGCAAGGTTCTAATGAGCAATGATGACGGCTGGGGATTCCTATTGTCAGATCGGGAGCCAAGAAAATATGGAATGAGGAAAAACGTGATAGGAGTCCTAGGGAACTAGGATCAATTCTATGAGTCGAGTCGCTTCCCGAGCGGTGGGTATGCCAGTAATCTCTTTTCCGAGGACGAGGGGTCTGAGAGAGTCAATTCTGTATGAGTTTAATGGAATGTCGACACATGATCCAACGGAATAGTATTCGCCGTCCGTTGTCTATGTTGCGTTCCCCTGTTGCGCTCTCTGCGGGATTTATCCGATGCATGGTCTTGGCTCCTCACTCGTACTATGGACCGCAAGCCTTTTTTGATTCGAACACGGAATCCCATGCTTGATACCGAACACCTCTCTTCTATTATCAGAGCCTGTAGCCAGCCTCAGGAACTTAACTTCGCCGTAAATCGCGAATGTTCATCCGTCATCGATCCGGCGAGAACACCAGGCGAACAGTGAGCTTATCGGAGCTTACGGGGGACGTCGTCGGTCAGGATAGCCTCCCGCATGCAGCTGCTTCTCAAGCAACACTTCGACTGCCCCCTCCTTCGATAGAGCGAGAAAAGGAATTTCGCATTTGCGCTGCGTCTAGCGAACAACGGGAACCCAGTCGGAGGGAGGTGTGATGCGACCCCTTAGACATCGAGAGTATCTCGCTTCCTCAATGAGATAGTGAAGCACTGCGGGGAGCGAGTTCCTTCGTTGAAGCCGATCGCCGGCCAGAGCTTCCCTCGTCTTCGATGCCATTGAATTCAGCGAACAGCCTCGAGGTCGTGGAGTTCGACAACGTGCGACACATCTGCCGAGCAGTGCAGGTTTGTGTTCCACCGGGCGCGAGGGAACCTCGACCTGGTAAGCCGCGAACCTCGCGTACCCCTGCCATGAATCGGAGCGGTAGGCTTCCCTCAAGCTTGTTGGAAGAATCAGTGAAATGATGCCGAATGGATGCGCGTTCAGTCTGCGGTGCCGCTTCCGATCTTTGGTGTGGTAGACCCACAGGTGAAATGAATTCAACTCACCTCTGAGTGACGGAAGCTCCCTCCAGCATTTTTCAGTCGGTCGATCCGACGGGAAAACTCATGGAAAATCATACTCCAGCCGACCGAAGCCGTGGAAGCAACAACGGATCCGGAGATGAGGCTTTGAGCATTCCAACAAGAAATTTCAACGAGCCCCCATGAGCGATCATATAGTATTGATGCTGAGCGATGATAGAGATAATGATGACAACTCTAAGAGGACTCTAAGACATAACAGGATAAGAATTCGAGACCTATCTCGGGGAGGGTCGAATTTCCGACCTCCATACTCAAGCGGGGCATACCTTGACACACCTCTCTCAGCCCCTGCTTTCGCCCCCAGCTCGAAACATTCACAGCTCGACGAGCAATTTTTTCGTAAAGCAATTCGCATCTTCGTTCTCTGGAAAAACTGCTACCTCAGGTAGCCTGGACCTCTGTGGTTGCGTGTTACGATGAAGTGGGTGGTCATTGATCATCTACATCTATGTACATATGAGAGAGGGGATGAAATTCTCTGCAATGTCCGAGACGAAAAGTCTGACATGCTTAGCTATTTGTTCCGTATCCTCGAGCTCTCTTCCACCTAAGATCACCGTGGAGCGCTTGAAATGTGACGCCGACGTTGCCACTCGTTCTCACGCCTCGGCCTTAAGTTGTGACGCCTCGAGCTCGAAACAGGAGCTGCGTCGCTCAGGACATGATGTTCTAGCAATTGGATCAGGGCCTCTGGATTCTGCCGACTGGAAGGAATATCCTCTGCGAAGTCTGTTCCCCAACTTTTCGTATCATGACCATGAAAACGCATTTTCTGCCAGTGCATTTGGCAGAGTGATCCACGCTCGTCGCTTCCCGGAGACTCGGTAGTGATCGATTCTCAAGGACGAATAGCGAGGTTTCCAGATGGAGCTCCGGGCACTCTGAATCTGCGTGGCTTCCCTGCTATGAATCGATGACCGCTCTCCGGAACGATGCTGGGGAACACTTCTTAGGAGGCAAAATATTTGTCTCGAATGGAGAAATCTTTCTTCTTTCCTCCTCGGAGCAAATGGAGCGGAGTCATTCAGGGACTGATGGAGAGCCAAGCGGGGGAAGAGGTCTGGAAACGATCGAAACGGAAGGGAGGAGATATTCATACAATCGAGATAGCCCGTTGTTGCCGCTTATTGAGACACCAGCCGCTCGCAGCTCAGCCGAGGAGAATCCGCGCGAGACTCCCAGACACCGGTCTCGAACGACGGTACCGCGGCTTTGACGCCTTGTTCGGTGCGTCCAACAGGCGAAGATCCTGGCTTTGAGTCGTGGTCCAAGCCCAAAGTGAGGCATTCGAGTGGAATGACGCTGTCACTTCCGTTTCTTTTTTTGCTCCATGTCATAGCTTGTGGCTGATTCAGACAAAGGAGTCGGAGCATGATGTTCTATGTCTCTCATCGTCGAGACCATCCTGCGTATTCCTACGCTATCTACCCAAACGAGTCTCGACTCATTCGCACTCCGTGTTTTTTTTACTCCAGCAGCGGTTGGATCGAGCTGCAGTTTGCAATCTAATGGACGACTTGCATGCGGACGCTTGACCAATGGGGGAATCGTGTGGTCGGCAATAAATTTTTTTATTGTCGTTCGAGACATCATTGATGGAGACGTCGTGGGCTAGATATGGGAATCGATTCTATGGTGATATACGATCGTCGGGAGGAAATAACGAGCCGACGAATCGTGATCTTGCTACTCAAAGCGAATGCAAGGAGCGACGCTTCAGGCGCTCACCATCCCGGAATAGAATGGATAGGATTGCTCAGTCGTTGTCTGGCTGAGATTAGCCGGAGTTCCATAGTGTCCTGTCCCCTTAGGAGTACGAACATCATGAGAGCATACATTTTCTGCAGCCTTATCTCGCTCTTCTTCTCCCTTGAAGGTAAGCTCGTTGAAAAAGTATCACGCGCAAAAGCTTCAGCGATTGGGATTCGATGCGCTTGGCGCGTGCGAATCATTGAGACAGTGCCGCTGTTTTCACAGGACAGGCGGAAACGCACAGATGTAGTCTGCGACCGGCTAAGGGTCTCTGTCGTGCCTACATACCCCGCTACTACTTCGATGAGGGGATGAGAGAATGTCGTCGCTTCATCTACGGAGGTTGTGGAGGGAATGCGAACAATTTCGACACCTATGAGGAATGTGCAACGGAGTGCAGAACAGAGAATGACTGCGACGGAGAAGCGCCGGCGAAACTGAGTGAACGACGTCGAAAGTTCCGATCGCGAACCCGAAAGCAACCGAGTTACCCGAGACGATCGAATAGGCGGTCCTGATTTGTTACCGTAAATGAGATTCAAGAGCTCTTCTAATCGAGATGGTTCATTCTCAGACCACAGACGTCGCGTTTGGCGGCCGAGGAGCTCGTACCCTACTTGTCGGGGGCTCGGTCGGCGACTCACGCTCCCCGAAATCCAATCAGATATGCAATCGCGCTTCAAGGGACTGCCGAATCGCACGAGTCGATTCGAATGAACGCTTTCCCGTGGAATAAAGAAGTTTCGCTGCGCAGCCGCGGCTCTCAGTAGCAGGAGAGTTTTGGCCGTGATATCGAAGTTCCGTGATAAAGTCTGCTGTCGAGTCGAGATTTCGTTCTTCGTATTCCTGATTTTTTTCCCTCGAGAGAGAAGGGACACAGCTGATTTCCGATGTACTCTATGATTTCGCTGGCGATTCTTTCGAAGCGTCAAAATCATCCAGAGGTCATCCGATACTCCCGCGTTTCTCGCAAACAGCCTCTCGAGCCGCGCGAAGAAGTTCGTGGAGGAAGCTTACCAGAGCAGTCGACCACCAGGGGAGGAGCACTTCGAGCTGCTGCTACCGAAACTCTGCCATCTGAATGCGGAATCTCCTCCACCAGCTTCCCGACCAGGACCAATCGTCATGATGTCGCGACATTTCCCCGTATGGCCCGAAATTGCACTTGAACAAACGGGTCGCCGCTTCCGTCCTTCCACGGTCAAAGGCACGACCGATCGAACGGCTCTCCCTTCGCGAGCTCGACTGCACATGCTTCCGGCGTGGGCCCCATTATCCATCCAGGAAGACACTCGTGGAAGTGATACGGATCTCAAAGCGTCTCTAAGCTTATTCTGGAGTCGAATCGCACATCGATGAGGAGCCTTCTGGTGCAAAACTGCACCCTCCTCGCTATTGCGTTCACGTGTATCGTCTCTCCGCAATCATTCGCATGGATCCGGAGTCCGGAGTCCATGGAAGGGATCGCGAGCGGCTACTGAGGGGCGACTGATGACGAATAACAAATCGTTGGCTTCAGACCGCTGTGGCTGGTCCGAAGATAGCGATAATCCGGAACCGATGCCCTCGGTGTGGTTGTAGCGACAGAATACTACCTGCTCGTGCCTTACGCTGAGAGCAAAACTATCATCGACCCTGAAACTAGCATGGACTCTTGTCATGTCTGGATTCGGTGAGTTTTCGAGACGGTGTTTGGATCTGCCATCAGTCATTTGAAGGCGTGTCTCTCCCTTCCTGACCAACTTCCGATGCCGTCGAGCAATGCCGCAATCATCTCCTCCTCTATTCTTCTGATGTCATGACTGAGACTGCCCCGCGGCGGAGGCCTGACCGCTCCCAGCTTCATCCCCCTGGGCTCGGATCCATCGTGAGCCGTAAGAG